GTTCGCGGTAAGGCGGGGAAAGGAAAAAAGGTTCTTGTTTTGGACTCCATCTCACCTCCGGTTTCATTCATATCGCAGGGCACGTCCGTGAAGGCCCAAGTTTTCACCTACGACGCCAAGGCCATGGGCCTGACGGCCAAGGATTCGGAGGCTCATGCCCTCGCCGCGGTAAACTACTGGGCGAGCAAGGATGCCACTGCCGGCTTGGAGGGAGAGAGGGAGGAGGAGATGGAGGATGAGGACAAGGACGCTACTGCCGGTCTTGAAGAAGGTGAGGCCGAAGAGGAGATTGAGGACGAGGACGAGGACGAGGACGAGGATGAGGACGAGGATGAGGACGAGGATGAAGATGAAGATGAAGACGAGGATGAAGATGATGAGGACAAGGACGCTACCGCCGGTCTTGAAGAAGGTGAGGCTGAAGAGGAGATTGAGGACGAGGACGAGGATGAGGACAAGGATGCTTTCGCCGGCTTGGAGGGAGAGAGGGAGGAGGAGATGGAGGATGAGAAGGATGCTACTGCCGGCTTGGAGGGAGAGAGGGAGGAGGAGATGGAGGGTGAGAAAGATGCTACTTCCGGAGTCTCCTACACGCTTTTGGGTAGTGCCGGCGTCATCGCCCCTCGGGCCAGGCGTACATCACGCAAGTGTACGGTGCATCTGGATAATCTCATGCTTCTCAAGCATGTCTTGCGGCTCAAGTGATGGATATGCTACTCCGTCCTTTTGTGCCGTGTAATGTACTAAGATTACTTCTGACGTCAATGGAATAATTATCAAAAAGCGAATCGAAGGTCTTCGATATCGCGTGTCATGCTTACCACATGTCAGGAGCGACACGAAGGAATATATAATTCATGGGGAAACAAGAAAAGAAGAGGGGCCTGTCTTGGAGAAGCATTTGCAGGGGGATATTATGACCTTCGGTGTGCACTTCTATTCCGGGTACACTCATGAGCCAAAAAGAGGCGAGGGAGTCGATTCTCTTCAACGTTCAGTCAGACTTTTAAATGTGAGAGAGGCTCACTAGACTCCAAGCATTGAGGGAAAAGAAATATTACAAAAAGCACACGCATGGTGAGTGTTTCAGGATGCGCGGTTTGCCTCATCATCACTCACGACGGCGGCCGCCAAAAAGAGCTTTTTCCTTTGCTATTGGCATTTGTGTACAATTGTGAAAAGCGTGAACAACATGCAGTCCTTAAAAATTGAAATATTTCACTCAAGCGGGTATGCATGTTAGAATAGTCTGTGTCAATACTCGTCCATACAGGACGGTAGCTGATGAAGATTATAAGACTGCAGACCTCAAGTGTTACTATTTTGATAAAATATTGTACACATGTTTTTCCGGTGTTTGTTTAGTTCTAGAAAATGAAAGAGTGCAAAAAAATCATGACTGGCAATATACCCCCATGATTCTTTTATTACTTTGTGATCCTCGACTCCAAAATAAATATACATATATATCCATGTCGATCATCGAGAGCATACGAGTACTATGTGCAGGTAGTCGTGTGAACTACTTGAACGACGACGACATGCTAAATTTTCAATGTACGTCTCAGGACGGTAGTGAGCCTTGGAATCCAACAGTCACGATAAAATAAGTAGAAGCGGGAGCCTTCCATGTCTATGTGCTTTGCTCTCACCATTTGGACGATCGAAGCTTTCCAGCCATGCTCTTGTCCCTCGTAGTGGGCGTATTATTTTAATGCGTGAAAAACGCATGTGTCACGTCTTTCGCGTTCTGACGTCTTCACGCGTTGAAAGCATTCCTACCAGAGGTCGCACATGGTCGTGTCCAGGATTCGTCTTTTCAAGTTCTAGATTCGCCCCCCATCGCATTCATCCAGCTGGTACTATATCATATTAAAGAATAGCATGGTGTCGATGCTATCGTGAAGCCATGGACGATATTGTGTATCGAATCGCGTTTGGCGTTCTGCCAGAACTTTTTGGATGCAAGAAGCACCGCCACGCCGCCGTCGGGACATACGTTCCGTTCACGAACATTGTGGCTTTCCGAACACTTTATCTCTTCCTTAAAGCCCCGGTGATCCTTCTTCATCCGGGTCTTTTTTAAAAGTGAGTAATGGTGTGCAAATATGAGGCAAATCTGCCGGTATGGAGTTTTTAGGTTTCTTGTATCTTGGGGCAAAAAAGACGGGTTGCAGTTGATCGCACGTCGACTTCCGTGAAGATACTAACGAGCATAGCAGCCTTTCTTCTCGGCGCCACCATGACCTTCCCGGTTATCTCTCACCCGTTCCGTTTCAAATTCTGACACATCCAGCAAATAAAGGCATCATGAAGATCTTTTCTTTTGCGCTTGCGGGCATCACATGTTCTGCGGCGGTTGCTCAGGTAAGTAGCTGGCAATTGACGGCAACAGGAAGATTCCAGAAAGAGCCGCGCATCCCCTTAAAAGATCCACGAATGGCATGTCTCAAATTCATTTATCCTGCTAACTTCAAACGAATCATAAACAGACGTTGCGTGGTCTAGCAGCTTGGGCTGGTGAAGAGATAGGCGTCAACACAGCATGTAAGAAGAGCATGAATCTGGGAAAACCCTGTATTCCTGCGGCAAAGGCAATGTGTGCCAATTCCGATAACACCGCTTCCTACTCCAACCAAGCTAAGTCGCTCACTGTATTTCTGTGCATTTTATCCTTGCTAGCAGCCAGAGATGCCTTCACGAGCCTGGAGGACCCTATGCGCGTGGCGGCCAATACCGTTCGAGCCGAGCACGGACTCGAACCTCTCGCGTCCGACCTGAGCCTCTCACGCACCGCTCTGGACTTGGCGAGGGAGCTGGGTACGCAGGATAATAAAGAAGCAATGTTGAGTCCGGAGGTGGAGAGCAAGTTATTGGAACGTGCTCGGGCGAACGGATTCACGGTAGGCGACCGGAGTGGAATGTGGCGTAGTACTGGGGGAGGTATCTCGCTACAAATGGGGAGTCCTTCGGACACCGTTACAGACCATTTATTTTCCAATACCATCTCACGTGTGCTACAGGGTACATCCGTGAAAGCAAATATCTTCACCATTGATGCCAAGGCGGAGAACCTAACGGCCACAGACACAGAGGCTCATGCACTCGCCGCAGTGGCTTCCTGGGCTGGTGGGAAGAACGCGACAGCAGGACTGGATGTAAACGAGCACGAGCACGCCGCTACTGCAGGGTTGAAAGTGGATGGACACGAAGATGTCAGTGATCATAGTGATGAAGGAGGCGTGAAAGAGGTCAAGGGCGCCGCGGCTGGATTGGAAGTGGGGGAGCACGCGGAGGACACCGAGGAGGACACTGAAGAGGACGAGGAGGATGAGGAGGATGAAAAGGATGACAGTGACAGTGACAGTGACAGTGACAGTGACAGTGACAGTGATAGTGACGACGATGACGACGATGACGACGATGACGACGATGATGACGATGACGACGACGATGATGATGACGAGAAGGACGCGACAGCTGCCCTTCTGGGAGACTTCAACGTTGTTGGCAGTGCAGGCGTCATTGCTCCATCGGGCCAGGCCTACATTACGCAGCTGTACGGTGTTTCTCCGTAGAAGCTGGGAAAGGCCGTTTCTTAGAACATGATCGAAGTATATGTGCGGTCACCGCTACTATCTGATGAATATTCTATCGTAAAAGCGCTACGATGCAGGCGTCAGCAATGAGTGGGCAAGGGCTTGCAGATTTGCTTGGACGGCATGAGGCAGGTCACTTACTTTATTCTTGGAGGTGATAAATCATGCTATATATAATGTATGTGAAGAAAGGCAGGGCACCGCGTGTCGTTGGACTGAAACGAATAAATGTTGGTTATTAAGCTCGTTAATTCTTTGCAGATAGCCTTCTTGGCCTTTTTAATTCCAGCCCCACTAATTGAATCTTGACAATGGTAACGAAATACTGAAGGGTTTCATTCACGAATGCAAACCAAAAAAATTTATATATATGACCTCTTAAATACCTACCCAGTCTTGGGAGGCCAGCATAATACCTAGCGCTGACCACTTCGTCGTTTTGGAACGGAGTCATTTTGGAGCTTCGATAAACTTATTTTTACATGAGAGAGGGAGCGTGACCTAAAGAAGCCAAATCGTCGCATTGCCCATGGGATTTCTACCCCATATTTTTTACTGCTTCTCACCACGGTAAAAAATAATAATCTAATGCAACAAAGGCGAAAATTTTCCCGGAAACTGGATTTTATGGCTTCGAAAACCAAATAAAATAATTGCCTACCACAATTAGGCCCCATCGCTGTATGTTTTTCAATCAGAGCCTTAAAAGACTCTCCTTTCAGTATTTTATCCTGGACCGGTCGGGTGGCGTGGGAGATCCGGAAAGAGAATGAGCGAGCCCCGGGGCCCATAAGGCATTTCACCCACCTACACCAAAACTTTTTGCATAAAAACCGTGCGCTCAATCATGTTTTGCTCCCCGAAGGTGTAAACGCTATCGGAGTACACAATTGTATGCCTAAGCACGCTGGCAATGTGCCGGAGAGGGTTTCATATAAATGAGCGCCTACCATTTGACGCGGAGTATACGCAGCAATTCTTCAGAATCATCATATCAACCGCCTTGTTTCAAAATTACATAAAACAGAACAGCGACGACTTTCCTATCAAAGTAAACATTACTGTCGGTGGAAAGGCACACCTTTTGAACATGTCATAGCGAAGCAGTCGAAGCCAGTTTTACGTCCGTCTCGAGATCGATCATGCGTCCACACTCTACCCATCAGTATGCCACCCGGAGTGCCTTGAGCACAGGGAATGGTAGATTTACCCTCATTTTGCGGTCCATTGTTTCCTTTTTTTCCTATCTGCATATCTATTGGGAAATTTGTGGATGACATTACCCATGGTCCCTCGAGAAATGGGAAGAGAAACAAGTGCTGACGCGAGACCTCGATACAGCGTGCTACGACACGGCAATCACGGTTCTGCTGCTTGGTCGCTAAGAAATCGTAACATGGAGGAAACTTCTGCGCATGTGCAGTCCTTTGAGGCCGCTAGCTCAGACTTGAAAGCGCCCGACGGGACTGAAAACGAGGCGTTGGGCAGGTACATTGAACGATCCGGTAATGTGGTAGGAATAGAAGCAGCAGACACAGAAATGAATGCTTTGCTCGCAAGAGAGAAAAGTGGTGTAATCAAAATTCAAGACCAAGATGAAGAAGGTGAAAATCTGGAAGAGCTGGAGGAAAATGCGGTTGAAGACTTTGGGCCAATCGAAGAGGATGGAGAGAGGAGCCTTTCCTCCTCCTCTTCTTCCTCCACCTCCGCCCCTACCTCAACCTCGCCTTCCTCCATCTGGCCCCCTCCATCATGGGCGTGGCCCCTCGACCCCGACCATGAAGCCTATGGGAGAGACATGTTCAAGATTCGCTTTCCCCCTTCCGCCGCCGCCTCCAATGCAACTTGCACGGGCGCTGGCAGCCTCGATGAGGACTTGGACTTCACCCTTGTCTCCCAAAGCTCGCCTGACAGAATCTGGATGCTCCCTCATATCTGTGAGCGGTGGGAAGGGCCCATAATCGTCGCCATCTTCATGCACGGCTTCACCGCCGAGCACGACGCCTTCATGGCAAACCTGAAGTGCCCCCAGCTGCAATGTCTCCCAGTGCACCCCTCTGTCCCTGCCTCCAGCTCCATTCCCGCCTCAGTATGGGCCGCACCAAACCTATATCCTGTCAATGCCTTGCGAAATCTCGCGATCTCGGAAGTGAGAACGACGCACTTCCTTCTCACGGACATGGACCTGTGGCCTTCCCGCCGTCTCTACCCTCTCCTGAAGCACCTGTCGTCGAAGAGGGAGATAGACAGTAAGGGCACGCGCGAGACGTTTCTGGACCCGCTTCAGGCGCTAGTGGTGCCTGCTTTTAGTTATCTTGGACAAGTAACTGGAGGCGAGAAGCAGGAGGCCAGGGAGGACAAGGTGGGAGGGATGCCGGACGACCAGAGGGGCCTGGTGGAATGCTTGTGGAAGGGAAACTGCCTTGTGTTTGATGCTCAGTACAACGTGCACGGCCACGGCACCACGGACACGGCCTACTGGGTGGGCCGGCAGGAGAACGAAGAGATCAAGCCCATCCCTTGCTTTCTATCCAACAGGTCCGGTAGAGGGACGGAAATGTGGAAGCAGGTGGCCAGAAAGCCAACCCGTCTCTGACATGCAACGTCAAAAACACAGTAGCTCCCTCATCAGACCTTCTTTCTGAACTCCTCTTCCCTTCATTTTTCCTCCCGTAGATACGAGCCCTACGTGGTCCTTCGGCGCTGTCCTACCACGCCTCCTTTCGCCGAAGCCTTCACAGGATATGGAAAGAACAAGATACAACACATTGCCCATTTACGCTTCCGCGGATTTACCTTCTCGGTGCTTCCACCCGAGGCATTCTTGGTACACTACCCTCACCCGAAGAGTAGAAGCAAGCAGTCGTGGCTGGAGGGTGGGAAGCAGGAGGCGAGCAGAGGCTGGAGGGGAAGGATGGATGACCTTTATAGCCGATTTTTGGACTGGGCTTTTAACGAAAGGGCGGCCAGAGCAGGGTCAATCACGCATTTGTGCCGGCCTCCTGAGTCAACTGCCCTGAAAGCGTGAGGACTGGAGGTGTTTGTAGAAGCATCTACCGGTGAGGGCATCGCGTTGCTTCACCTTGCTTGCATGGAATTTTGGACATGTCAATGGCAGCATTTGCATGCATGGAATCGAACTTGTCATATTAAAATCATTCAAAATAAAATTATGAGGGGGTAGATGAGAGAATATAGAAAGCAGACTACCACTCGATGGGAAATGATAGAGAGGGAGAATAAAAGAAGCTTTTCCCCTACAATGATTATCGAGGTGCGTGTGCATGAAGATTTAGGGGTCAATAAATGTAGGTAGACTACTGGATCTCGTGAACCGCATAAACACCTGTCTGTGAGCAGTGTGAAAAAGCTCCTTATTCTTCGCGGTCAGAAAGACTCGCGATAAAGAAAATTTTTATGGACATCAAGCAGGTGGATGTATTGTTGCTTGTGTTTCGATTATGGGGTTTGTACCTTATCTGGAGTATTCTAGTCATGGATGTATGCTTGATGCAGCTTTTAGATGCTATCTACTTGGACCCTCTTTGATTGACAGGTACATGCCGTCGCATGAAATTGGGCAACAGAGCAACAGTGCTGATAGGGCATGTGAGGGCTCGCACATATTTGCACGCCTATTGGATCGGGTATGGAGCATCCCTATAGATGGTAGCGAGACGAATCGCGACCATACTTGTAACACAATTGCTTCATTCAAACATGGGCCACCAGGTGAATCCTCTCTGTCGCTTTTTGGGTGTCTACTCTAACCAACATGATGTATATTATCAGGTATAAACATTCAGAGTAGCAGAGATGTATATCATCTTGGAGTACAATGGCACCAACAGCGTCAAAAATCAAACGTAGGTCCATCCGCGTGCATGCCTCGGCCAGTATGGCATCTATGTACGTCAAAACCCGATGACGACCGCTCGCGGGCGTTCTCGCAAAATGCCAACACTTCTACGCTCCCTTTGGCTCTAGTACGGACAAAACGACAGACATTGTAGCAGGGAGTATACGGAGTCACAAAGATATTTTATTGCAACCACATAAGTCAAGCTTGCGTATCAGAGATGCTGCAATGACTCAATGTGACAGACAATTGTGGGCAATGAGAAGGAGCAACCCTTCAAGCAAGTAAGAAGCTAATTGCCTTCACCCGTCCTCCAACACCTAAGACAGAGACCCTGTACAGCACATAACGCAACTCATGCAAATTCTAGATGCTCTTTCCAGTGCATGTGGTCCACGAAGTCAGCAAGAGGCTCTGGTTCTCGCGTGCCATGCTGCATTCTTGCTGCATGGAACTCCCCGCCTAGTACCCTTGTCGTCCACTTCGCGCTCTGCTCCATTGTCTTTCTCTTTACTGGATGCCTTTCATGAAGCCTCTGCAGGCTACTTCCCGACACAGTATTTCGCCGTATGCAAGGAAGGTACCAAGGACAGTGATAATCAAGACATGGATTACATTTCCATTAAGCCGATAAGGTGCAGGGGGAGGAGCCACGATCACGGAGGGAGCGAGGGATCAGACTCGCGGCATCTACAAACTGGTCCCGTGCTTGTCCTTTTCGGTTATCGGGGGAAGCTGCATGGGTCCGCTGTGCACAGGTTGGAGCTGTCGGTGGGAGAGTACATCGTTCAAGAGCCCGACTTCCTCCGTATCACTGAGCGGGAGGCTTCAGGAAGACCCTTAGAGAAAATTGGGACAGGGGATAAAAATTACATGAACACAAGTGAGAACATTTGTCTCATAACAGGTGAACAGGGCAACAGTGACGGTGCAAGCGCCCCTAAGTATGCCTGTCGCTTCCAGGCTTTAGTCTCGCATATCGCTGTTCGATTTTTCTCCAAGTTGGTTCCTGAACTTTACACCGTAAGATCGCTCCCTGCCTTCACAGAAGTCATTGGAAGACGCGGTGGGCGCGGTAATGGGTGCCTTACACAAATGTGTTCATCGTCGACTCCCTCATTGCTGGTGGATGAGCTCCTTCCTTTCCTCGACTGCCAGAGTATGCTCCATCTCGCGGCAACGGCATGGCAGTTTCACCGGCCTTTGACGCTGACACAGCAAGCATGGATCATTCTCCTGGAACGAGACTTCCCTCTTGCCGATTCCTCTTCCTTTTTGCGTCCTGCCACTTCCCGCTCCTCCGAAGCAGGACCGCATCTGTCTGCAAAAAGTGCGCGCGACGCCTATCGTCGCCAGTTTCAGGCCCGATTTCCACCCAAGATGCTTCGACACGAGGGTCTGCAGGAGCATTGGGTTGGCCATCGGTGGTATTTACCACCTTTTCCAGGCGAGTTCCATACCGCCCCCATTTTTTCTCCCGTCCGTTATTTTTCGGAGGACTTCGAGGAAGTGAGAAGAGGAAGGAGGGAAGCGTTACGGTATCCATTCGAAGAGTCGCCGCTAACGTGGCTTGAGAGGAGGCCAGAACGAAGGGAAGAAGGCCTTTTTGAAGGGAACTTTTGTTGGAGATGAAGAAAGAGGGAAATGACATAGTGAAAGCAAAAGAAAGTTCTTCAAGATAGGCAAGGTAGAAAAACACTAGGGTGTACCGTGTATATAATCATATGCAATAAAAGTATGCAGCTAAGAATAGCAAGATAGAATCTGAGTAAAAACTTGGGAGCGCCTTGGCGTGATTTCTCTTTGGCTTGCGCAATATGCGTTATATTATACAACAGTCGTTAAAAACATCGAATTCTTGTTTCCGTGGTGGTGAGAAGAATGCCGCTTAGTCAGCGGTATTGGAAGCATAATCTTGCTTCCTAAGCCCACCCAGCAGAGGCTGAGAGCTACGACAAGCACCACAGACGTCTCAGCGCTGGAGAAATTATGTCATAAAGGAATGCGTGATAATCTTTTTTCCAAAATACGTGTGGTTGTTCGTGTGAAGTTATCTAAGTATAAAGTACGACCAAACATACGTCATGTGACTTATTTAACTGATCAGTGCAGCTTTAAGTGAGCGCAATTCAAGAAATGTAGTAGACCCGTGAATATTCATGCAAACTAATTCCCTCTTACCGGAGGATGGTGACGAGACTTGGGTCATCAATGCCCGCTCCTTCCCAGTGGACGAAGCGATATACTGTATGCTCCGCAAAAAGGGTTTTCAGCAATGGATCAGAATTCGGATTCTGTTCCAGGTCGTGAGCGAGTTGGAAGGGAAAATGGTAGAGAACTAGAAAAGGGATCGAGATGCTGTACAAGGTAATATAGGGACAGAATTGAGTTTAGATCGCTTAATGTAAATTCAATAACTTTGGCAGATCTACACTTTCCTGTTAGGAGGGATAAAAAGCGTAATCATTGAGTTGGAAATAACGTACCCCAAAAGACAGGAGCTCGCCCCCAGGAAAACACGGAGGGCTGTAAATTCAGAAGGCCACCACAACCTCGATATATCAGGAGAGGTCAGGTCCGTCATTTGCTTGCCAAGTAAAATTCTCAATTCTATAGCAAGTATTCCACAAGCTGACAGAAGGATCAATAAATAGGCTAACTTTTCAGATATTCGAAATAGAAAAGTAATCCATTTTCCTATTGCATAAGCGCTTGGACAAATGTCACCCAAAGGACGTATTGTTAGCAAATCTAGCCCAGGAACCATCACTCCAACTGTTTTCAGACTTTGAAGGACATAAAATGTCGTCGAAGTCCCAGGAAATAGCGTCATAGGCACAAGGATGGAGAAAAAGGGATGCATCTGCGCAGTCTGAGGTTGAGAGACAGTTGCATCTCCAGGTAATTTTTGGGTCTCTCGGCCAAGTAGTTCACTCGAAAGATATCCAGCGAGAGTCAGAAGTCCAAAATAAGCTAAAATGTGCAGTGAAAGGTTTGCTGTATGCTTTTTCGTCGCTATTATGCAAGATGATGGCAAACACAGGTAATGCGCTGGCAAACCATATGCTCTGATAGCGGCAGACATGGTTGAAGTTGAATTGAGTCAGCGCACAACATATAGTCTGTATAGACAAGTAAGAGTAGTCTATGTAATGAGAATGCGAAACCATGATGAGAATGCGAAACCATGATGCATCGTACAATTCGCACAAAGAACAAACCCTGGGTACCGTTTCGCTTTCATGACCGGACCGTTGCAAGCCGTTGAATTGAAATCAAAAAATTTAATAAGGCGAGTTCCACGGCGAGCATCACAAGATATGCAGCAA